GCCGGCTTGAGAGTCAATTTCTCTTCAAAATAGAATTGATTGCCAGCCTCCCTTGTCCCTGGCTGGCTTGCTAGCTCGTTGGTAACGTAACTGATTTCTTCTAATGTGCCTGCATCTGGCGCTGAGTTGCCATATTCCTTTCATGAACCACTTCCTGATATCCATTGTTGCAGATAAATATAAATGATAATAGCCAAACTAACCTAGCAAGAGTAAACTGACAGGCTGCTGTGCCGCATCTCACTCAAAAACCCACACGACTCGCTCAACCACAAGACTCAACCCAGCGAAAAACCAGTCTCGCAGCGCAGCCTTTCATTCAGAATTTCATAGCAAAATGAAAAAATGATATTAAACTAATCTTTCAACATAGTTTAAAACTAAAATAAATATTAGGACAAAGCCCTACAAATAACAACAACATAATAATAAAACAATTAAAATGTTGTATTCAGCCCTTAAAACAGCGGGCCCAAATCCTGGATGGGCAGGCCCAGCGCCATATAGATAGAAGAGTTACGACAACGGAAGTCCAAAAACGGTTATCGTCACGTGGTTCATGTAGACGAGGATCATTCCCGGAAGTTCATGGCGGGCAATGTGAATGCATTGATAACAGGAGATAGAACTACGATTTTTGGTAATTATTAGTGAATAAAGGTTTTGATTTGCAATATTTATACAACAAATGTCACTGTTGTATAAATATTGATGTGTATGTATTTACATCAATATGTTTTAAAAAATAAAATAGAATTTGCTATATTAAGTGATAATATTGGATTAGTGTGAACAACTAGTTTACATGTTAGGCTACAGTGCCTTGGTTAAAGAGCCTGTTGCTGTTTATTTATAGCTTTGATTCTTTAAAACCAATATTATCTTCTTAAACTTGTATGGTAGTCAGGAGCATCACTTTCTAATGTTTATTGATACATTTAAAGGGAGGGGATCTAAAGTAATGCTTTAAAATTCAGATTAGATTAATTTCTACCATTTTCTTAAATTCATGGTAGTTTCAGTAATCCCATGGTAATTGAGGACACAAGTATCTAATGACTAATGTCATCTTTATGGCTTTCAGAAAGGACAGGAGACCGACAGGTGGACAATCAAAGGACTAGCAGCAGCAGCATGATGATGATGATGTTAATGTGTTGTTTTAGGAACATCCATTGCAAATACATGGAATTCAATAAACATTGTGAATAGCATATCATGCAGTTTGTCTGTGCCTTTTCCTCCGTGTTGTCCTGGTTTGCTGTGCTGCCTCCCAGTCGCCACCATGGTTTGCTGTGCTGCCTGGGGATGCTCAAATCACTCCGAGAAAGGAGTACGAATGTACGGCTTCCCCACTGACACAGAGCGGAGGAAAAAATGGCTGGCTCAAGTCACAGCAAAAAATATGTGATTTAATTATATACAAACACTGCATTTGCACTTTTTCACAAAACGAAAACCACACCATTGGGAAAGCTTAATGTTTTGTTTAATACAAAAAAACCAGGGAAAGGCTTGAAAAACACTGAGAGTTGAGACTCAGGGTGCAGGGTGAGGGTCTCAGTGCAGGTATTCAGGCTCCATTGAATCCCCCTCTGGTTATTGTGCTCTGAAAGAGGGAGTAACAGAACAGGAGAAAGGGTTATACACAGGGCTTGCAACATAACTGGTGCGCATGCGCACCTCCGCCAAAAAAAGCAGCCCGGGTCATTTGAAAAAAGGCGCATTTGCGTACCAAAATTGAAGAGAGGGAGAGGGAGAGAGAGAGGAGAGAGGAGAGAAAGATATTTGCGAGTTGCATATGAAACTCAGGGTCGGCCCGTAGCACTGGCGTTATAGATGTTCGCCTAGGGCGCCAGATCTGGGGAGTCGCTGCGCTGGCAGTTCTGGGAGGGAAAAAAACATTTTTGACCGTTAGGTGCTCATTCCTAATTTTCGGCCTTGATTGTAACAATATTCATAATTAAGTAAATGTAACACCCTTTTCACCCCGGTTACACGTTTAATTTGCCCTGTACGATGGGCGCTGTAAGTGATGAAAATGGGGGGATGTTGGCTTATCTGGCGCCCGCAGCTCACAGCCAAAATGCGAATGAGCGAGGGAGAGAGAGAAGGGCGCCACCGCCCGGTGTTGGTTATTAGATCTGGTGCTAGCTGCTCTGACGGATGTAAGAAGAAGATGTTTCTACAATAATGTGGAGGGAGAGTCCATCTCCAGTCAGACTGAAGAGGCTGATAACTACAGCTCAGTGAGGTCAAGGACTCTGAGTGTTTAGATAGTTCACTTTAGTCTAAGTTCAAACGGTTTGGTCACAATTATATGCAAAAACAACATATTTTCAAGGCACTCCTTTATAATTATGGGATAAACAGGTTTGAAATCATTCCATGTATACTATAGGACAGTAACCAAAAATATCCTTTAAAACTGGAGAGATACAAATAAAATGCATAAATAAATGTTAAGGTAAAATAAGATATGAATGAACACAAATAAAATAAGTTACATTCATTTGTTATTGGCTATGGTAGGTTATTGGTTATGTTCACATACTTATTTGATTACACCCACTTGTCTAAGATGACAACAGAGACTTTCGACCCAAAACCAGCTGTTGACTTGTGGATGCAAGCAGCTAATCGCAGACTCAACCAGAGAGAAAGTAGTAGACCTACATCATCAGCTACCATGTCTGACAGAGAGGAAGACAGTGAGGAGAACAGTGATGACAGCTTGTAGGATTACTGGTCGTGCTAATGTTGTCTTGTGTTCACCTCTGCATGTGTGTTCTGTGTTTACCTCTGCATGTGTGTTCAGTGCCGTGTGTCTGGCAAATAAAGTCAAGACCCCCTCAAAAGTTACAGTTTATTTCATTTTAAGGATGAGCACCAAGCAACATCTCCAGGTGCTCCTTTGAGAACCAAGGCAAAAAAGTATGTGCACCCCTGGTTAGACACACCTATATAGCACACCTATTGGATGGGAAATTGCCTTGGGGAGATAAGGTGTTTACTTATATAAAACAGTAGTATTAAACTTACCTTGTGTTTTCACTCTCACTTAAGTCCCTCTCCCTTTGCCATCAATCCAAAATCAGCTGAGCTGCAACATTATACAGACAGGTAATAATCAACATAATCACAAGGACACAATATGGCTCTGCTAAAAACACTCCACTCTTACACGCACCAAAGTTATATTTATTTATTATTTAACTCCCTCCACCCCTGCATACAATCCCATTTAGAAGCCCCTCTTCTCTAATTCAACAAGTTGGACCCAAATAGACCTTAAGAGAACGGAATTTACAATTAAAAGGCTGTTCACCGTGTGTTTGCTAACTTGCTTCGGTATCCTAGCTTAATCCTGTTATCTGTAAACGTTCCCTAAATCTACTAATTTAGGGATAATCCACTGACATCCTTTAATACACATGTTCATTTGAATCAGATGTACTGATAATATCCGCAATATAAATCTTTAAACTTCTTCTTACCTTTAAAAGTCCGTCACGAACGGTCTATTATGCTGCAACTCTATAGCTCTGCTAGCCTTGGCGCTAACTTCCGGGGAACGATTGAGAGGCTCCACGATCCGCCATTGCTGTAAAAAAGTGGTCCATTGGAGTGAACGGAGATGACATAACTCTCAGTCTATATGGCGCTGGGCAGGCCCAAACCCTGGATGGGCGGGCTCGGCCCCATGGGGCCCGCCCATGACGCCGGGTCTGCTGACGAGGCTCCATTAAAATATAAATATTTTTTGTGAATTACTGAGTTTAGGCACGTTAATAACGTTTTAATGAAGCTGACTACAGTATATTCATATGTGTCAGTGCTTTCATGTCAATTCGGCGAACATAAACATAAATGATCGTGGTGGAGATGATGATTAAATTAGGATTACAAATCGAGAGCCGGGCTGCATTTCCTCCCGTTCGTTTTTGGAGCTGGCGGGCTTCCTGATGTTTTTTGTACAGTAGTTGTGGACTAACCAACATTATTTAGTTAAATAAAAACATGGTGATGTTTTGTAAATGATTACATGTCTCTTATTTAGCACAGAGTATGATCCTATGCGTGACATATGGATCTTAACAAAGGTCCGCTATACAGTAGTACCAGACATAAATCTACCGTACTGTATCAGAGTTTATTTCACATGAGCTCCAGTGTGGAACCCCACTGCACCCCCTGGTGGATCAATGATCCATTGCAGCTGGCTTCATTATAATTACATTTATTTATCAAGGGGGCGGTCTCAAGTCACGCTGGAGGTTTTCCTTTGAGCGAGGGCAGACCCCGTGCCGGCCACGGCCCTCACGTTTCAAACGGTCTGAAATGAGGTGCTACATCTGTACCATCAGGACTCTCTTGTTTATGTTTTAAGTTTTATGGTCAAAAATGTTTACCCTATTCACATTTTAAATACGAATTTGGGACATGCATTTTAAAGGCTAACCCTTTCAATATAATTTGTGTCTAGCACTATGGTCCCAGCAGGTTCGAATTATGTTTCTATGTCAGTTGGCAAAAGAAAAACAATCTATTTCCTAAAGCAAAAGGTGATGTCTTATACTTAATTTCGACCTACTAAACTATCAGTGCAGGTGTGGGAAGTCTTAGTGGAAGCAAACGGATCAATATAAGTCAATAGAGACATATTTGTTTTGAGGAGCTAACTCAAAGGGATTCATTGTCAATTCCTGCCTTTTAAAAGTTTGATTAATTGTGTTATTCATTATTTGTACGTGTTGGTAAGTATGCATCTCTGTGAAACTAAGAAAACCACCAGCTCTGTGGAAGTGTGAAGGAAGTAAGAGGCAGAGGAAGGCGAGAGGGGGGGAATGAAGAAATGAATAGAGAGAGGGAGGGAAGTGACAGGGACGATAGAAGACAGAAGGAAAGAAGCTTAAGGAATGCTAATGAATAAATGATGTTGACATTCCTTTCTTTCTCTCTCCATTCCATACCTGTCTCCATCCCCCCCTCTCCTGCAGGAAGGACGCAGCTCTTGTTAGCTTGACATCCTGCTGTGGCCCTGAGGCCGGAGATGTGACTGTAATGTGAATTGACCCTAAAGGACTGAGAGTACATGAGGACTGCTTGGATCCAACAAACTCAGGTAGGTCGTTGAATGGAATGTTGGAATTCACAAATTCTTGTATAGAGGAAGTAACATGTGAGTTATTTGTGGAATAGGATCTTGTGTGTCATATTTATTGTTAATAGGACAGAAATGGTTTCTCAAAGTTCAGGATGCCCCCCAAAGATTTTAGGTGCTTAAGGTTACCGTTGTAAATGTAAATATTGGACTACGGGCAGTGTGTGTGTGTGTGACTCAACTCAGTCATATTAGCAGGCAGAGCTTTTAAAAAGACATACTGTGCATAAAAGTGCTGCGTATGCGTATCACAGTGTTGTGTTCCTGTGTTACTGCTTTGGCCTGGTGGATATAAAGATATCCATCATTTTGTATAACTTTTCTTAATCCAGATGAACAGCTCAAAGATCCTTATATAGCTGGTCACCTTTTAATTCCATTATACTTCTTCCAAACATGGGTGGACACCGGGAGAAAATTGCCGAAGTTGAGATTTCCTTTAAACTAAATGATGAATGGTGTATAACTGCATGCCAGAACAAGGCTACGTTGCCTACTGAGTTACATCAGGACTGGTAACTGGTGAGTACGGAGCCCCCAAAGGGACTTAACCCTAACCCTTTCTTGTGCTAACGAGAAAGTTAGCACAAGAAAGTCACCAAATGTTTACAGGCTTTCAAATCCTTGGATCAGGAAGGAAAGAGAGAGAAGCTTTTTTGCTGAACCTTTCTGTGTCTCTTAACACACGTATACATGTATTAAAGACATCAAAAAGTGAATTTAAAAAAGGGGACCACTTAATGTTGAGCAGACTAGTCGAGGATTCCTTCTGGTGAAATGTTTTGTAATGTGGCCCCCCTTTCGCCGATCATTCATTTAATCATTACAACTTTACATTCTGTGAAGGATATATTAGTTTCAGGCAGGTCCGGGTAATTGGAAATATAAAACATGTTTTTATAAAAGGATGATTAATGAACGTTACAGCAGCCTTTGACCAAATGTCACTAAACCTTTTCGTCACTTGTTCCTCAATTTCCTCCAAGTGATGACATATTAAAATAGAAAAGTGGCGGCAGTTCCATCCCAGGAGAACCTGCTATTGTCTAAAATGCAGTGGCGAGCCGTGACTTTTATACCTAGGCCCTCTGACCTCCCTTCCCTCGAAAAAAAAGAAGAGATATTACGTCACAGCCATAGACTGTATATATAAACACACACACACACACAGTCACAGTCACAGGTCACAGCGTATACTTCAGCGGAATATCAAAACAGCGGCCCGGGGTGCAAAACGCATCAATGACAGCGACCCTCTACCACACAAAACAACACCATTTATATAAACACCTATCATGACAGGGCACCCACAGCCAAGTAACAATTACAAATGAATTAAGTCGGCACGGCGGCCCGCATTGAAAATGACTTAGGCCTACCTTTGATGATCAAATCACTTAAACACAAAGTCCATCCTCCTGTCCTTTTGGATGAAGCACTTGCGGGTCATTCAGCTGATCCTTTGCCACTCCAGTTTATCATTGTAACTCAATCTTGAAAATGACTCGGTTAATCATTTCGCAACGATGTCATCACTATCACTGAAGTGAGCCATCATTAACGAACTTATGCTAATTATAAATCTATCGATCATAAATCTATCGTTTAGATTTATGATTCGAAAATAATAAAAGTAGGGTAGACATGTGGATATTATCCGGCTGAACAAAACGTGCATTTATCTAACAGGTTCGTTTTCCACAGACCTTATTTCGAGCTATTTTCCAAAATCCTATGGAGAAATCCCATTGCTTTCTGTCGAGGGAATCCGAGCGAAGCTTACTTCCGGGTTTTAGGACGTGTCACTGCACCACTTGCATAGACCTCACAGCGGGCGGAACTTGTCATAAAGTCCGCGAAAATAAAGCCCGCCCATTTAGAGGGAAGATATGATTGGTCAATTGTACTGTCATTTGACATTACTCTCTCGTTGAGTTACTATAGCGGGCCCTCTGTGAATGTAGAGAGGGACCAACAAGCTCTCCCATCTTCACATAACTCGCAGAGACGGCATTTAACCCTTCACATTCCAACAGAAACTGAACAGGCAGATTCGAAGGATTTATTTCTTTGGAAATATTATTTTAAATACAATTAAATCAAGTTATTTTGGTAAAACTAATGAAAAATGTAACAACAAAAACATATAAAAAATAATATTTTAAAAAAAATGTTTTTTTTTTAATGTTTTCAAATATTATTTTTTAGAATATCTTAGGCCCTCACAGAGGGCCTAGAGGGCCCTGACGGCCGCTCCACTGCTAAAATGTATCATTCAAGCATAGAAGTGTTCACATTGAGGCACCCATGGACAGCTGGAAGTTTGATCACACAGCTGATAAATACTTTGTGCACCAGGAGACTGGTTGGTATTGTAAGAGTCGAGAGGAGCTGATAATTTATTCCGGGAAATTACTCAGACCTACTAATTGACCTAACCGAAGTTATTGAGTCTATTTAAGTTTACTGCTTGGCTCAGATCCACCAAAGTCAGCAAGATCTCACCTCTATTAACTCCCTGAAGAACCAGGTTCAATTAACTGCTGTTTTAATTCAGACAACTCTCTAAATCTGTTTAAGCGATCCCGAAGGATTTTTATATCAGTAAATGAGGTGTGGCCCTACTTAAGTGTGAGTGTGGTAGGGTGCAATCTTACCTTTGAAGCAGGAGAGGAGAGTGCTTCCTGTAGTCCAGTATCTCTCTCAGCATTGGCTCACTCTCCCATTAAGACCCCCTCCTCTGCTTACACTAAAAATGTAATTGTCAAAGCATCCTTGAACATTTGGAATCAGTTCAGACGTTTCTTTGATCTCCAAACATACTCTACACTAGCCCCTTTAACTGCAAACCATGTGTTTCCTCCATCCTTAGTAGATGGCGCATTTACTATTTGGTTTAACCAAGGCGTTAAAACATTCAAAGACCTTTATGTTCACAACACATTTGTCTCTTTCCAACAGTTATCTGATAACTTTGCACTACCTAGGCAACATTTCTTCAGGTATAAGATTCGCAGTTTTGTTCATAATAGATTTCCGTTAGACACACTCCTTAGGCCGTCCTACTCTGAAGGGAATGATGACGTGTATTTATGCTCATATTTATTCTCTTCGTTTGGTTACCCTGAACTCCATTAAATCTCTTTGGGAAACAGATCTTGGGGAGGAGATTTCAGAAGAACTTTGGTAAAAAGCCCTCGCTAATGTACACAAATCTTCTATTTGTGCTAGACATGGACTGATTCAGTGCAAAGTAGTACATCGCACACACTTCAGTAAGCTCAGGCTCTCTAAAAATATATAAGGAGGTGGACCCAACTTGTGACAGATGTAGCCAAGCGAGTCACGCACACATGTTCTGGTCTTGTCCGCTCTCACACTCTTATTGGACTGACATCTTTAGATCACTGTCAGAAATCACTGGAAAACCGATCGCTCCTAAATGCCATGACCGCACTGTTTGGTGTAACCCCACCCACATGGCCTCTCTCTCCTCTGGAGACAGCCTTCATAGCCTTTGTTACCTTACTAGCCAGATGCCTGATATTGCTCATGTGGAAGTCTCCAACATCCCCTTCACACATCTCGTGGTTAAAATAAGTCCTAAATTCAGCCAAACTCGAGAAGCTAAGGTGCATACTGAGGGGCTCCCTGGGGAAACTCCACAAGATGTGGAACCCCTTCTACAGGTGTACAATAGGGTGGTGGACCTGCGGTGTTAAACTGTGATTAGTGGGCGGCTGACTGACCAACAAGTGCTATGTTTTTATTTGGTATTTTTGTTCCATTTATACACAGTGTTTGATTTCTACTCTTTCATTATGTTATTAATAATGGACTTAGACTCAGAGCCTTTAGATCTTGATGTTGTTGTGTTTTTGTCCTGTCGCAGTCCTTTGTTTTGTTTTATTTATTTTTTGTTTTGTTTTCTGTCCTGTTGGACTTGAATCATAATGTTGTCACCCTACTTTTCTGCCAACTGCTATTGTGCTGTCTGTCTGTCTGTTTGTTTATAAAAATAAATAAATACAAAAAAAGTCTCCAGAGATCAGGAGAAGAGCATTTGGGTGCTGTGTTTGTAGTCTGCTTACAGTAAAGCTGATGACGTCACATGCAGCTATCGCGATAACATGACTGAGTTCACGGGGTAGATACTGGGGCCTAATGCTAATGGCTAACAGCTCTATTTCCCGGTTACAGATCCGTTCTTTATAGTGATGGGAATTCCGGCTCTTCTTTGGCTCGGCTCACCAAGAAGAGCCGGCTCTTTCGGCTCCCAAACGGCTCTTCAGTTTACCACATATTATACCTTTTTAATTAAATCAAATGTAGCCCTGTTTTGACTAATGATTTATATGTGTACACATATATCACTTAAATTATTCAATACATCCTTTGTACTGAAGTATTCAAAAGTAAAATGTACATGTTTAATATAAATGATTTGCTGTGGCCAAATGTTTTCATTGCATTTACAGACCCGTGTAACTCTCTGATACCACCCAATGAATGCATTGACTTGCTTGTAGAACCACGCTACACAAAACAGATAGCAACACCTATAACAACTATTTTAGCCATGACTCATTTGCTCTTTCCAGCGCTGTTTTTGTAGGGGGCTGATTCTGTGAGCTGCAGCTGACCACGCCCCCCTGCAGGAGAGGGGAGCGTGCTTTGAGATCAGCTGCTGGGCTGTCAGAAGAGGGGGAGAAAAAGAGATCTCCGTCCTCCGTGTTTTATTCTTATAGAAGTAATGGGGCAGAAACCCTCCTTTTTACGCAGCGGTCCAGACATAGACATCAAACGGCGACACATATTCAGTTGCCAGTTACTTTGGCATTAGGGCAGGGATATCTAGATACTTTCCAAGGTTTGACATAATGAATTGTGCTACTTTTAAAGCAAGCAACGTGGTTTTCAAATCTGTAATCAAAAAGCTCCTCAAAAACACTATCGAAGCA